ATCCATTAAAAATAATAAAAAATGTTGGATTAAATATAAATCCATTAATTCTTATTTATATATAGATATGTGAATGTGTGTGTGTATTTAAGTGGCATATTTTTTATTCAAATAGGTTTGGTTAAATAATTTAGACATATTAATTTATTTTGGTTGTGATCCTTTCACGTTCACAGATTAATTACTTGGTAGCCTTAGAAAATTGATTAAGAAAAATACCAAAAGGCTGTAAAGTTTGGAGCACCCATTAGGAGTCAAACTCACTACTCAGTTGGAATTGATCAAGTGAGACAAGCTTGTTAACCATTATACCACATTGAAGTGCCCAACTAAGCATAGCTTTGATGTGGCACAAGGCTGCTAGAATAGAGCTCCAAGTCAGGATCAAAGTCACTATTCAGTCAGAAATGAGCAAGAAAGACAAGTGCCACATCACTCACTGTACCCATTATATGCATAGAAATCCGTTTTCAGCACATGAGAGGCCAGCAGTTCTGTTCATTAGAACAGCCAGACTACCCCAACATCGGATTTGATTATAATGGTGAAGGTTTGGGCAGAACTAGCCACGCTTTCTGAAAGAAGTGAATACAGAGAACTGGTGTGTATTGTGTGCAACAAGGTCTCCAAATGGCTCTCTTCAGGTTTTTCCTTCTCCTAGACTAGTGGCCAACCAAGGCTATAAGGCTCAGTCTGACCAACTGGGTTTGGGGGGAAAGAAAGGATGAATTCATACCTTTCCCAAGGCTATTTGCACATAAGTGAATGTAAGCAGCATAACTGGAATTCAAACCCAGCTCTCTGACTATTTATTCTGAGCCACTATCCATTACACCACTTTACACACACACACACACACACACACACACACAAACACACTTAAGTCAATAAAATAAGAGTGCAGTGAAAAGCTAAAGATTCAAGTTGATGGCCTGATATCAAAAGATAACCAAAAAGATTGAATGGCAGGGAGGTATGGAAAGGTGTAGGCATAAAAATATGTAACTAAAATTCTTTGTGGAGAACAAGAGTAAGAGAAAAAAAAAAAAAAAAAAAAAAAAAGATCCAGTAGAAAAATATTTGTGCATTTCATTTTTTTAACTAATTATGAAACTAATCCATGTTTAGGTGATATATAGATAAAAATATGAATGTGTAATGAAAATTCAAAAGGATAAGGGTGAAATTGAGAAGATACAGGCCAAGATTGAGAGAAGAGACATGAAAATGGATATTCTCAGTTGTCAAAGGAAAAAAAAAAAAAAAATAGTCAGGATCAAAGAGTTAACGCAAATGATCATTTCCTTATCTGCATAGTATGTGCTTTGCCAGGGTTACATACTGTTTTTAATTTAGAGTTTTCCTTCTCCTAGACTGGTTATCTCCCATAGCTGTGGGGACGAGAGTTGGATTCATACCTTCCCCAAGTGTATTAGCACATAAGTGAATGTAATGAACTTGACTGAAATTCAAACTTGGCTCTCTGGTTCCTTAATCTGAACCGTAATCCATTACCATGTAATTTCCATGGATTCAGCAAGTAAATTATAATTATAATTCTGAATTGGTGACTGGTATGATGACAGCATAAAAGCTGACAAAGTTTTATTTTTGAATTATTTCACCCCCAAGCAAGGTAATAAAGCCACTAAGACACAAGGGGTTACTGAGTGTTTTTTTTTTTTTTTTTTTTACAGTGATGCTAAGCTTGTACAAGGCTCTGGGGCCACTTGAGGTAGAGGATTACAAAATAAAAGGTACAGCTTATGTGGATATGTGTGGAAGATAACAGTTAACCCTAGACTTGAACAGGTTTAGATTATGGTGAGTATGAGAGAAAAAAAAAAAAAAAAAAAAAAAAATACTATTAAGGAGAGCAAATAATAAAAGACCAAGAATTAAGACAGAAGATAATGATTGACATTGCATTTAAAATTGTGAAGATCAAAGTTGACTGGGAAACTAGAACCCAGAAGTGAGTCCTACAAGTGACTAGTGCAATAGAAGAAACTGTTAGCATAGAATTTATTTACATCTATTTCAACTGTAAAAGGATGAGATATTGCCGTCAAACCACAACTGTGTTTAAATTCATAGTCTAAGCATTGTAGAAGAAAGTTTATCCAAACAATTACCATGAAAATATTTATAGAAAAGACACAGGGTAGCTAGATTACAGTGGTGAGAAAGTGACTGAAGTCAAGACGCCAGGTTAAGACCAATAACATTGCAGATTCTTTGGATTTTATCAAGAATCTTAATTTTAAAGCTAACATTTAAAATTGATAAATAATTTTCAACAAAAATCATCTCCCCCCCCCCCCCCACCAATATGGTAACCATTGAACACTGACCCACAAAATGTTAAAGATACTTGGGAAGTTTTGATTTGAAATACTGTAATTTTTTTTTTTAATATATAAATGTGACTAATGTTTCTTTAACATTGTAAAGAGCCTGCAAATAAAAATTGATTTGATTTTTGGAGAAAACTTATAAAATTTCTGTCAAGTTAAAGAAACTGTTAAAATAATAAAATTTTATGAGTAATTAAAAATAAATAAAAGTTTGGTAAATATAGATAGATATCTGAAAAAATAAAGCAAAAAAACATTTACACATACAATGTCTTTAATCTTATATCAATAAAACATTATGCATATGTTACCAGCAAAAACGTGCTACTTCTCACATAGTCAACAGAGATTAATGTTTTTGTTTCATTGATGTATGGGTGTGATTAAATTCAATTATCTGATGAGCAATTTTCCTTTTAAAGAAATACTTATATATATATATATATATATATATATATATATATATATATATATATATATATATAAATATATATATTATTTTTAAAAGAATTTATTTATTTTTGATGTAACATTTTTATTATTAATTTATTATTATTAAAGCAGATACTTCACATTTGAAACAAACACCCCTTTATGTTTATTAATCCCAGTCAAGAGGATGTGCTTTTGTTAGAAAGAGAAAATAGAATCTTGCAGCAAGCAAGGTTCTATATCCAAGCAGTAAAGCACACTGGATAAAACAGTGGTTTTTCTTACAAAGGGAGATGCAGGTTCGATCCCTACCAAGGAACACATTTTTTTTTTTCTTTTTTTTACTAAGATTTCTTGAATATGCTGACCAATAGACGTAATACAAACAGTTTAGTAAATAAAAACTGGGGATCTATTACAAATTTAAAGTAGCCACTATAATAATGTTTAAAGTTTATATATAAAAAATGATAAAATATAGTTTTAAGGTATGCTATATTTATGGGTTAAAGTGCTTAATATCAGGGATAGAGTGTATGTAAATATAAAAGTTGACATTGAAGTCAACATCCAGAGGCAAGTACATTTCATGTGGTTCCATTTAGCATGAAACAGATTGTCGTCTCCGGATGTTGACTACAATGTACACTTTTGTATTTATTCTTTATTTGTAGGTCTGATGAATTGGATCGTATTTACTATTCCAATGGAATAAATTATGACCATGGAATATTAGTGTTTAAGCCTTTTTATTATATCCTTACTCTGTCCTGGACATTGAGTCTACCTGGATTCTATCCTCTTGGAATTTTTTTTATACAAAATATATATGTATGTGTATGCATGTGTATATATTTTATAATTTAATTGATTTAAAATGTTTTTTTTTCGCTGCACAGTTCTAACCATGTTTCAAAAATGGAAGCTGAAAGCTCTGGAATTTAATTAATTCGGAGCTTTCAGCTTCCATTTTTGCAACATGGTTAGAACTGTGTAGCGAAAAAAAAAAACCCATATTTTAAATCAATTAATTTATAATATAAATGCTCTGTAAATTGAGAACTATTTGTAAAAATAAAAATATCAATAAGAACACCAGATTATATATATCTTACTGTTCTTTTTATATATATATATATATATATATATATATATATATATATATATATATAAACTCTGAAGTCCCCCTGACATCTGACATATATATGAGGTTCAACAATTTTAGCTCCTAGGACTGAATATCCAGACTACCCAGGATATGATTTGATTATAGTGTGAAAGCTTGAGCAGAACCATCCATACTTTTCAAAAGAACTGAAGTGCGTCTGATGTTTTGAATTCAGAATTGTCATTCTAGACTGGTTGCCAACCTAGGCTAAAGAGCCTCATTTGCTTTGTTATTTAACACATAACTGAGGGAAGAAGAGCTAGCTCCTTTCCCAAGAGTATTTGCAGAAAATGGAATGTAACAAAATCAACCAGAATTAGAATTTGGTTCATCAGTTTCTCATTCTGAGCCACTAACCAATACACTACTGTCACAATCTCTGAAGTAAGTGGAAAAAGTTAAGGGGTGGAAGATTACATGTGACTTGCAAAAATTTGTATTAGATATGATTGGAGATTTACCTATGTTAAAATCCTTTATCTTTCTCCTAATTGGTTCAAAGCAGTTTTATGTCCAGAGATGTTACATTATTAGAAAAACTTTTAATTGCTTTTATAAATAAGATATATTAAGGACACTATTATCTTTAAAAAACTTTTTTCAAAGAATTTACAAGAATTGTTTTCATTTCTTTTTTTTTTTTTAATTAGAATAATTTATTAAGTTTTAAATCTTAAAATTCTGTATTAATTTCACTTCTTTAGATGATAACATTAAGTAAAAAATATATTTACTAATCATAAATAGAAAAGCTTAGTACAAATCAGCAAATATCAATAATTTTAAAAGAATTTTGAATTTTTTTGTAGGTTTATAAAAATGCTGATTTTTATAGATACGATTGTTTATACCTGACATTATCAGAAAATCAGAAAATAAAATTGGTAACTATAGCAAATTTAAAGCCAGTAAGCATCTAAAATTCAATAAAACATTATGGAGAATATTTTCTTAAATTTTTCAAATTACTTAGTATTTAAAAATGATATATGAAAATGGACACCTTGTAAAAACCAGTCTTTCCACTACCATCCTACAAGGTA